AGAGAACTGTGAAGGCACAGTGTGACTACTGAAAGACTCTCCAGCTGGGAACAGACATAATGGGGGCACAAGGAATTCATTCTTGGGCAATCTCTGTTGGGAAGTTGGTGCCTCAAATTAACAGTACTTCTCCCACAGGGTGCATCTAGGTAGAAAGTGCAAGCAGAAGAGCAGCTCTCTTCTGCACCAAGCAGGCCCAGACATTTGCATTCTCAAAAGACACGTAAGTTAAAACATGTTATAGATGTCAAATGTGAGATTGGTTTAAGGGAGTTTCTGTCTGCAGAAACACAGAGAGCAGAGAGGCAATTTTTTTTAAAAACCCAAACCAACCAACAATCAAAATCCTTTTCTCTTGAATAATTTTGATCTTCACTATAAATTTTATTTTCCTTCTTTCACTGTATTTCTTTGCTGAATGTGTCTATTTCTACTTTTCTCTCCTTCCTTCCCTCCTTACAGATAGAGAGAGGTGGAAAAACCAATACTACGACAGATCACTTTCACAGGACGAAAAATAGCAGAAAAGACCTTTCTGATTAAGTAGTCAATCTCTTGCAGCGCTTCCTTTGTTAAGACCTGGAATAAATGTCATGCATGTTTTACAAAGCTTTGATTATATTATTATCATGGTTGGGGCATTTTAAAATGCTGCTTAGCCTCCACTGAACTTGGTCAGCATTTACATTATCAAAGCACTTCTATGAGATTTCCTCTTTCCACTTTCACAAACTTGTATGAGGCTCAAAATGCAAACACACCACAGAGATGTCTTGACTACTGCCAGCTTCTGTCTCCTGAGACTTGATATTTTTTTTCTGTACCTTTATCTCTACATTTAAAAGGTCTTCCTGTATCTCATACCTTCCCCAGACATTGCTAATCAACTTGTCCTTTGGCTTCTTCTTTGCTAAGATGAAAAAATTGAGTACTGTAATTCTCTCTAAGTGAGCAGTATTTTTCCCACTCTGAAGCTTTTTCTGTAGCGTGTTTTCCAAAATCTCACGCAATTTTTATCATCCTTCTGAAAACCCAAACTTCTCAGAAGACTCCAGCTGAGATAGCCTTTCCATTTTACTCCTCTTGCTCCAACTATTATCAATAAGGCCAGAAGCCACTGAAACTCCACTGACAAGCAATAGCTGTCCTGCTGCTTCCACTGCAATTGCTTGTTTCTTGAACTTTTCAGTGCACCAGAGAAAAGCAAGAGAATCTCTGGAACATTCAGAAATGCAAAGAAGGGGAAAGAGTGATGTTTCTTCCTTTGATGGAGCAAAGAAGCTGTGTACACCCACATCATCTCTTAGCTTAGTGTCTTCTTAGAAACAGCTGTGATCTGAATCCCTGACAGGGAAGGTACAACAGTGGGAGTTTGGGCTCCACAGCTGCAGGGAGCATTTCCTTCTTGGAAATCCTTGGAGCACAATGCTGTGCTCCCAGAGCTGGATTTAACCCACGGAATGCAAATATGCCCTCAAGTTATATCTAAAAAGGAGGATCCTCCTTGCAAATGTTAAGCACAGTTATAATGATTCGTACATAAAGAGTAGAGACCACAGAGAAAAATCTATTATTGTTGCTGCAAAACACAGTAGCAACTCATGAGAGTTTTACTTTTATTATTCATGTTGCTATTAGGAGTTGCATTATTACTAGATCCTAGCTGGCACAGATGGCTGCTGTGCTTTGAGGTCTGCTTTAGTCATGTTTTTAGCTGCTTTTTTCTGCAGATTTTATAGGGTTTGGGCTGATTTTAGCTTCCTTCATTTGCTTGATAATTGTTTTGGGTTTTGTTTTAGTTTTTTTCTTAATTAGCAGGAATATGTTCATGTTTATAGTGTGCTTTATTCACTCTTTTTGAACTTGTGGTAACCAGAATCAGCAATGCAATTATACCTTCTGTTGTTTGTGTGAGACTGGCTCAGGCCAGATGCTTTGATGGTGGCAGCAGTTTTCCTGGAAGGTCAGTATCAGTTTGCTGGCACTGGTGGACTGGTATTTCTCACCTATTGATAACTTTCCACCTTGTATACCATCCTTCTCAGCATCACTTCTCTTTACTGCTAGAGCGAGGAGGAACCTCTCACCTGAATGTTTCCATTCTCCTGAGACCCTCTGTCAAATCACTACCTAAACACAAGTGATGGTTTCTGCTTCCTGAGCTCCTCCACAGGTATACATATTCTCATCTCAGCCTCTGCTGCTATATTTTCCTTGCCTAACAGGTTATCTGCGTGCAGTATCTTCTGATTTCATGTGCCTTCCATTTATTGCCTTAGAAATAATAAGAAACACCAGGAGAGGGTTACTTGTATTGCTGTACCTGGTCAGCTCTTGTTGCAGGTGTGACTGAGCAGAACCTACTGATAAATGTTTATGGTCTATTAGGCAGAAATTCAGGGTCAATCATAAACAGCTGTGTCTGCCCTGTGGTTTGCTTTGGCTACATCATCACAGTACAGTGATAAGAGATCTGGGCATGAGTTTCAGCTTTCCTCTGAAATGGAGCACGTGAGCTAGGAGACAAGCTGTGATGTGCTCCTATATGCCTCCTGCTCTGCAGGGTCAGTTCATGGCCCTCAAAGTCAGACACAGACTGACTTGTAGACCTGAAATACATTGTTTAGTCTCCATCATGCAAGGTGTCCCCACACTTACATGCCATACTGTGGTCTTCAGTAATTTCCCATAGTCCTGTTCTTTAATTGCTAGAGGTTCTGATTGGGAGGATTCACGTTAGGAAGGTGAAAGTTTTGGGTAGGAAAGCTTCAAATACTGCCGATGGTTGCACTGCCTCTTCTCTTGCTTCCTCTGAACACCACCACTGCCCATTTTTGACAGGTAAAGAAAGGGTTTAAATATAAAGTTTAGGAGTGAAATGTTTAATTTCCTTAAAAAATGAGAGCTTTTCAGGTGTCTGTGTTAAAAATGAGTTTTGAAAATCTGCGGATCTCAACTCTCCAACTACAGGAGGCAAGAAATTAATTACTGTTGTCACAACGTCATAGGATAATTTTCAGTGTTATGATCAAAGGTAAAATATCTTGAAAAGGATGCGTTAACTGATAGTAATTGGCTCCTAAACTTCTTCCATAGGATTGGAGTAACAATTTAAAGTCCATGGCAGTGGTTTGTATGCTGTGACAGGGGGCCGGGTCCCTTAGCTTTTACCTGCTCTTCACATTAGCCTGACTGAAAGTCTATGAGCCAAAACTATAATCCCAGCTCCAGATGCCCCCATAATTTGGATCTGGATAAAAATTTAGCAGATCAGGCCCATGTCTAATTACATCAGACAAATTATTGGATAATTTCTTCTGCTTTACCTTTGCAATTCACTGGAGCAGTTAATTTCTTCAAAAGCAGGCACATCCTTTCTCATTAGAAATTCTTTTTTGGCCTTTTTCATGTGAGTTTCTTATTATTAAACACAGACATATGCACACACACACACACAAAGTTTTGCTTTCATCATATTAATGCTACTTAAGAGAATATGAGATGTTTAACAGAAATTTGGCTTTAGCCACGAGATAATCTGCCACTTCATGGAAGCAAAAGAACTACATTACTCTGTATGCTTCCATAGAACAGAGCTGATGGGCAGCAAGGAGGAGCTGGAAGAGGAAAGCACTGACGGCAACTGATTTGAATGTCCACTTTGTGGTGTCATGGAACAGAAATGTCTGATTTCTCTTTTTGAAGTTTCTGCTTCTTTCCTGCCTATGATGGAAGTGAGGTATTCATCAGTTGCTAGCTCTGATATTTATATTACCTTTTCTTTCTCCTTTGTATCTCTTTTTTTTGCTGCAGGTACACCCCAACTCATTATTTCTAAGACCCTATCTGAAACAGGTTTCAGCCATCCCTAAGGGTACAAAGAGATGCTTAAGGTACAGAAAGGTTACAGTCCGGTGCAGATTAAGTAGAAACAGAAGCAAGATGTTTGTGCTAGGTAGAAGTGCCAGGCTATGGTTTTATGGTCACCCAGAGGCATAGTCAGATATAAAGCTCTGGATTCTTTTCTGCATTGCCCTTTGGTTCTCTTTCCTCCCATCCATACCAAAAAAAGAAAAATCTGGAGAAAAAGAAATCGTGTTTTCACAAAATATCCCAGAAAAAGAAACCTTAAATATCATTCTGCTTTGCTTTGTATTGATTGAGCATTGTATTTTTTGAAGTGAAGAATCCAAGAGATTTAGTCTGAGACTTCCAGGGGACTAACAGTGGCACCTATACATTTTGAAGCTGTTGATTGTGATTTTTTTTCCAAGTTTCAACTATTTTATGAGCGTTATTACTTCGGAAGTTCTGGCCTCTTAACTGAGCTGCAGAACTGCATGCCTCTCAGTTGCATAATGTTTTAGAAATACATGCTTCATTGAAATGCTATTGATTTTCAACTAAAGTGAAAATACCCTCATTTAATGCTTTCTTAAGAGAATTGTAAAAGAGGCTGGAGAGGGTTTGGACAAAGTCATTATTAATTGCATATCACAAAATTTGGATTTATATATTTTTAATGCAGAAATTCTTCACAGCTCCTCAATCAAAACACTGTTCTAACATTATGTCTAATTTTATAAATGGAAAAACCCTATTTTGTTCAAGACTTTCAAATTCCTTTGCTTTGTTCAACAAACCCTTATACTTGCTGTGAGGGGACTGCTGATTGCTTTGTCAGCAAGACCAATGATATTCAATCTTTGATTTCTGATTCATTTGCTTCTTCCTTCCCTTTGATGAACAGAATAAATGTCTAGCTTTTTCCTTTCCTTTCAAAAAAATTTCTCTCGCCTCTCACTTCCTTAGCAATGAGAGCATTTTATGTGAAGCATTCTGACTGTTTTTTGGACTATCTCTTCCTCTTTACTGAGCTCAGAGCTGGGTAAGTACTTGACAGTATTTCATTAAAGGAAAAAACATTTTCTCTCTGTCTGTCATTGGCTCTGATGTTAGGGTGTCAGCTTTGCCTTTGACCACGATGCTCTCTGGCATACCTTTGGCTGTTTGCTCAGGCCTTTGTGTTGTCTTTGCTCTCTGCGGTGGCCAGGTCTACCGCTGTTCTGGTCAACAATGGTAAGAAGTTCTGAAACAGGTTGAACATGAAGGATACTGTGAGATTATGAAGGGAATCTTGGAGCAGGGCCTAGCAGTTACCATAAATTAGGCCCAGTTGACCTTGATGTTGTCATATAAGCTTCAGCTGGTCCCACAGGATAAGGCTACAGCTTAGTTATGAGCACAGAAGAGTACCTTAAGGGTAAAAAATCCACCAAACACTGTGAAAGTGGTGACAGCACCCTTGAGGGAGTAGGTGGTGAGCAAAAGCAACAACAGCATTCAGCTTTCAGGTGTGGGAGCAACTTTAAAAAAGCAAACTAAGAATAGGCTGTTTCTACGTGCTCCAATGACTGTCAGCAGGCAGAGAGCCTGGGGATGCCACAGATGAGCCCTGGGAGCACTCACCATGTGGTCCCAGCCCCCACACTGTCCTCATGCCTTTCCTCCCAGACTGCATAGGGGCCATGAATATGGTCAAAGGGTAGAGAACCTGCCCCATGAGAAAAGACTGAAGGAGTCAGGTCTTTTCTCACTGTAGAAGAGAGGGCTCATCACAATATTTAGGCAGGTCAAGGCCAGCTAAAAGGAGAACAAAGTCTCTTTTCTCGAGGGACCACATGGAGAAGACAAGAGGCAATAGGTACAAATTGCACAAGGAGAGGTTTCATCTTGAAATAAGAAAGGAATTTTTTACAGTAATTTTTACAATAATCATTCACTGGAACAACTTCCCCAAAGTTCCTGGAAGCTTCAAGATATAATTGGACAGTCTGCTAGTTAAAATCACTTAGGCTCCCTTTCTCACAGAAGGGTGGACCAGATGGTCTGTCCATTCCAACCTGGGGTATTCTATGGTTCTCTGCGAGAAGCAGAGAGGTCACCTAAGTGAGGGTGGTGAGGCCCTTGCACAAGTTGCCCAGAGAAGCTGTGGCTGCACCATCCCTGGAAGTGTTCAAGGCCAGCTTGGACAGGGCTTAGAGCAACTTGGTCAAATGGAAGGTGTCCCTGTCCATTGCAGGAGGGTGGAAATAGATGATCTTTAAGGTCCCTTCCCACCCAAACTATTCTATCAGTCTATGAATCTATGATAAGTCACAATTACCTGTATCTGGCATTAAAGTGTTTGGTATCTGAGTCTGTGTAGTCTCCACACTGTCATTTGGTCTTAACTGGGACCCAGGCTCCTGAACTTATATCAACATTTTAGAAAATCCCAGACACATGTCAAATTCAGTGCCAAACAAACACATGGCAAAAAACAGTTCTTTTCTTCCTGGGTGTGGTTTAAACCAAAACAAAGTGGATACCAAATGGGAGGAATGTGCTATGTGGATCTCAATTTACAGATGGAGAAGGGGTGTTCTGTGAAATCACAGAATCACTTAGGCTGGAAAAGACCTCCAAGATCATCAAGTCCAACCCTTGACTGATCACCACCTTGTCAACTAGACCATGGCACTAAGTGCCAAGTCCAGTTGTTTCTTGAACACCTTCAGGGTTGGTGACTCCACCACCTCCCTGGACAGTCCACTCCAATGTTTAGCAACACTTTCCATTAAGAAATTCCTGCTAATGTCCAACCTGACCCTCCCCTGGCACAGCTTGAGGCTATGATCTCTTGTCCTGTCACTAGTTGCCTGGGAGAAGAGGCCAACCCCTACCTGGCTACAACCTCCTTTCAGGTGGTTGTATAGTGTGATAAGGCCACTCCTGAGCCTTCTCCAGGCTAAACAACCGCAGCTCCCTCAGCTGCTCGTCATAGGACTTATTCTCTAGAACCTTCACTAGCTTCATTGCCCCTCTCTGGACTCACTCCAGCACCTCAATGTCTTTCTTGTACTGAGGGGCCCAGAACTGGACACAGTAATCAAGTTGTGGCCTCACCAGTGCTGAGTACAGAGGTAAATGAGCAAACTTATCAAGGATTGGGCAGCATGTCTGAGAAAACAGGAGTTAAAGCTCAGCAATGGGATCACAACCATCTTATGTTACAATTGTTATAGCTAGTCCTACTGGGATAAAGTATGTTAAAAGCAGAGTTCATATGATCTATAAAAGAGTTATACTATAATTTAGCTGATATAAACTACTCAAACACTAATAGTTTAGCTAATAATAAAATTTTTGACCAGTGAATTCTTGACCACTGTGCTTAATAGTTTTGAAAACACTTGTGCTTTCTCTGAAATACTGAGTACAGCTGTGTGCTACTTACCTCAGTAACTACTGACCTGAATAGAAAAATACCATGGCTCGTTTCAGAGGGAACACCTCGCCAGATTTGGGTTTGTATCATCTCTGGACAATGAAGTGTGAAGGCTTCCTTTTTGTCATGCACCTCATTGGACAACACAAATAGCAAGCTTTAGGCACAGTTCTTGCACCAGGACTCATTATCTCTGCTCCTAAAAAACCTGTTTATATCATTTGGGTCTATGGAAATGTGAAGGAATATGTGCTCAGAGGTCTGCAGATGAGGCCGAGATCACAGGTGTATCGTAACTGTGGTATGAGCTTTATAAAAATCACTGCAGTGTGAGGAAGAAAAATCTAAATATTGATTGCAAGGTTTGATCAGTTGCATTTTTCAGATGAAATTTCAATCTGATTTGTCATGTTATTGATATTTTTTTCTTGCTCTTTGAGTAATTATTTTCAGTTATTCTTAGCTGATTGCCTCACTTTGAACTAGTATCAGATATCAGATTTATGAGTTTTTATTTAAATGTGAGAAAATATTCAATTTAAGAAGGATTATAAAGTCAGATCTGAAAGAGAAGGCTGGTATATATCCTTCTGGGGAAAAAAGAAAACAGAAGCACTTTCTACTTCCCAATATGGCAAGTAAGGCCATTCAAAAGTGTGAGAAAAGTAGAACATGTTTTATTATGTTCAAAGGTGCAAGATAGCTTATCAAGTCTTTAATTCATCACAAGCTTTACAGTGCTATTTACCTAGATATTATTTCCAAATATATCCAGAACATTTGTAAATATGTAATGACATATCTTTATTGCAGTAGGTGTTCTGCATGATTCAGCAGGATATTGAGTAGTATACTCAAAGTTTGCAGTTATATCAGTAACGGTTTGTAAATCTGAACAGATGACATACTGAAATAAGATAACTTTCTCTCCTTAATATCTTCATAATCTGTTTCTATTTTTTTTTGTTGTTTCTTAAAAAGAGGGCATAGATAAGGTTAAATGCCTCCCGATTAAGATGGACTTGTTCTGAAATCTGTGCCTATTGCCTCTTGTGCCATAGCACACCTACAAGAGCCTGGCTCCATACTCCCTAAATCTCCCCTAGAGGTGACTAAAGACAACAGTAAGGTCTCCTCTTGCCTTCTCTTCTTAAGGCTGAACAGACCAAATTCCAAGTGTTTGTATCAAAAACCTCAGCTCCCTGAATAATTTGACTTTAGAACTCTTCAGGGTTATGAGGACAAAATATGATAAAGTTATATTTCAGGGTGACATAACTGGGATTTCTTAAATGATGTTACAGAAACTGATAAACATGATTGTGTTAGGAGAATTGAAGAAAAAAACTTGCATTATGCTCCTCTGATTAATTACAGAACTGGGAAAAATAGCAGTTTAAAAGAGATTTAAGATATTTGCTTGCACAAGCATTACTCACAGCTAGCTTTATTTTTTAAGTATGCAATTTTTCTGTCAGTCTATAATGTGGTACGGTGACTGGGTAATACATCTTCAGGCTTTACAGACTCTTGGCATGACATGGTCCTTGAGACAGTAGATCTTAATAGATCCTTCTGCATTAATCCTGACTAAGGAGCAGATGAATAATTAATTAAAAATGTTCCACACAGACTTAGTCAACCATTACAGCTTCTCTGTGTTTTGTGCTTTCTCATAGATGAACAGAACTTGCATTTTTTCCATGATGGTTCAAAAAGCTCCATTACAGTTTGCCAGATTGCTGATCTATGAACTAAACAGTATTTAAATATTTCCTGATTTGATTTACTCAGTAGTACATGATCTCCTATGCCTTCACTAAAACCATATAGTAAAAGAGCCATTATGTCATTTCTTTAGTGACTGATCTAGCAGATCATTAAGAAGTTTTTCATTCTCTAGAAATTAGGCTTTAAGGGCTTGATTTTTTCTAGTGTTCTGGCTGCTGGTGCTCTGCACAGGGGGAAGCCATTTGACATGGACAGTTCTTCAAGTGCAATATGTACAGCATGAAACCACAGGCAGCAACCCATATCAAGTTAAAATTAGGTCTTTTCTGTCTAAGGAGAATCCCGTTTTTACCTCCTGAGTTATACATTCATCAGCTTCTGATGACACAGCATATTTTAAAAGTGCTAGCAGGTGTGAAAGGATGCAAAATGACAGGAGTTTTGAGTCATGCCAAGAAAAGTAGCCCTTCCCTCCTTATTGAACTCTTAATAAGGTTCACTGGTGGGTACAACTTCTGCTAATGACCCACGGAAAACAAGGAAAGAAACAGTTGTAATAGCCCAGGCCCAGAGCTATGAGCTCACCCAGGAGTTTTACTTTTAAAAATATACAAGGCTACAAAAATTTGCCCACCAAATGTTTTGAAGAGCCATCAGTTCTTTAATACCTTGAGGTAGCATAGGGAGAGGATGCTGCACACATTTTCTCAGAAGATACTTTTACTGATAATTTTGGAAAATATGGGAGAAAATAAGAGATCTTGGCAAAAGTTTAAATGGGTAACATACAACCAAAACAAAGCACTCCACAAAGCTCTAACTTGGCACATGCTAACCCATAAAACCTAGCAAACTCCAACCCACTCAGTTTTAAGTTACCCAAAATATTAACAAAAGAAATTAAGAATAGGAGAAAAATGGCTGCCACCAGAGTGGCCTGTGCAAGTCCGGCTTTCACACAGTGGAGGTAGGTATCAAGAGAAATGGAGACCTATGTGCTGCTGTTTTTATGTGCTCTGTCCCCCTGTGGCCGCCCCTCCCTGGCGGGACATCTGGTTCACTGGCCCTTCTGTGGCTCTGGGCCC